TTATAATTCTTTTGTCTTCTTGAGCTACCCTTTGAGATCTTTTGTTTCACTCTTTTACTTCATCATTTCTTCTACTTGCTTTAGTTGTTCTATGTTCCAGAGTCTCTTCTGACATCCATTTTGGGCTTTTCTTTCTCTTCCGTTTTCTGTTAGTTTGTTTGTTATTAATGCCCTTTAGCTTTCTTCATATCTGGTGTTCTTAATGTTATTTCACAACTCACGTGGTCTTTAGTCATTAGTGTTCATAGTCTGTTCTGTAGTTGGACCCTGGTTTTGTTCTGATTAGTGTTACTGAGATTTTCCAGGGTCTCTTTCCACAGATATACTCAATTTAATGCCCATGCATTCCATCCAGCATGGTCCACATGTATAGTCACAGCTTATTTTGTTGAAACTATGTATTTGCAATGAATAATTCATTGGTCTTGTGGAATTCTATCATGTGATCTCTGGAATAGTTTCTATCATGGCACCTATATTTTCCAGCTACTTTCTTCTTCCCAACTTTCACATTCCAGTTACTAGTAATTATCAATGCATCTTTTTTTTTTTTTTTAATTTTTATTGTGAATTGAGTGATAGTTTACATGGGAGAACATCATTTTTTACGCTCATCCTATCATATTTCGTTTCATTGCAATGATTACAATCCCCTCCATGCATCATCATTCAACAGTATTTGCTTCTATCCCCTCTGTTTCTTTGTTTTGAATGTACACAAAAACACTCAGGAATATACAATCATTTAAACAAACAACTGAAGGACACATTCTGCAAGCCTGCCTCTTGGCCACCAGCATACAGCCTTTCTCTTTCCATGAGTCTAGAGTCCTCAGCTGCTCTCTCTCTCCATGCCCTCATCTCTGCCTCTATCTCTGGTGTCACTGCTTCTCTGGATCGGGTCCCACATTCTGTTCATGCTCTTCTCCCTTGATGGTCCTAGGGTCCTTTGATCTTGGACTGTAAGATTAACTGCTTAACCCTTTTTTTAATAAAACTTCTACATTGACAGTTGTGACAATCACAATTAGTCATGATAACAGTTACTCACTTTTGAATCATAAGAATCTTATCCACATCTCCTTTCACCAGACCCATCTAGACAAAATGAATACTATTCAGTGGGGACTCTACCTTTGCCTGCACACTCAGACTAAACTCCCTCTTGAAAACTTGTAAGCTACTCACTTTGTACCTTTATTGCCCATCTTTCCTTCCTGCCCCCCGTTTTAGGTAGCCAATGTCTAAGTTGCCCATCCCTACCTATGAACCCTGTGTACAGAGGGGATAGAATTGATCCTTGATGTAAAGATTCCTTCCCTCTTGGTTGAAATTTTGAGTTTGAACTACTACATCCATAAGTATAGGTCAATTTCAGGGCATCTTTTTTTTTTTTTTATTTCAATGCAACTTGATCACATATGATCAACTTCAGACTACAGAAGGTGGTAAACATCTTCAGCCTCTTTATTTTTAGCATTAGTAATTGGTGTGTAAACTTGAATAATAGTCATATTAACTGCTCTTCCTTGTTGTTGTTATGTGCCACGGAGTCGGTTCCTACTCATAGCGACCCTGTACAGGGTTTCCGAGGCTGTAAATCTTTACAGGATCAGAAAGCCTCATCTTTCTCCCACGGAGCGGCTGATAGTTTCGAACTGCTGACCTTGCAGTTTGCAGCCTGATTTGTAACCACTACACTACCAGAGCTCCTGCTCTTCCTTGTAGATGTATGTATATCATCCTATCACTGACAGAGTTGTACTGATATATAGATGGTGAAAGTTTCTTTTTGATGAATATGCTGTCATTCCTTCTCAATTTGCCATTCCCAGCCTAGTAGACCCTATGATTGTCCAATTCAGAACAGCCAGTAACAGTTCATCTCAGCTCATTAATGCTTAGGATATTGGTCTTTATGCATTCCATTTCAGTTCTGATGACTTCCAGTTTTCTGAGATTCATAATTTGTACAATTCCTGTTCCAGTTATTAATGAATGCTTGCAGCTGCTTCTTCCCATTTTGAGTCATTCCAAGCCAACAAATGACGATACTGAAAACGGCTCCATCTACATCAGTAAGGCTTGCTCTACTCAAGGAGGCAGCTGTGTGTTGAGTGCTCTCCAACCTGAGGGGCTCATCTTTGGCACTATATCAGTCAATATCCCACTGTTATTCATAAGGTCTTCACTGGCCATTGTTTTCAGAGGTAGATTGCTACATCCTTTTTCCTTGTCTGTCTTAGTCTGGAAGCTCCAGACGAACCTTCAATCAGGGTGACGCTGCTGGTATTTGAAATACTGGTGGGATAGCTCCCAGCATCGTAACAGTACTCAAGCCACCACAGTATGACACACTAGCAGATGAGTGGTAGTTCTTCTACTATGTTGTTATTAAGTGCTCTCGAGTTAGTTCCAACTCATAACAACCCTGTATAGGGTTTCTGAGGAGCAGCTAGTGGGTTTGAACTACTGACCTTGTGATCAGCAGTCCAGTGCTTAACCATAGCACCACACCAAGGCTCCTCTTATACTATGTTGTTGTTGTTGTTGTTAAGAGCTGTTGAGTCAGTTCCAACTTATAGCAACCCTGTGTAGGGTTTCTGAGGAATGGTTGGTGGGTTTGAACTGTCGATCTTGTGGTTAGCAGTCAAGTGCTTACCCTGCAGTGTCACATCAGGACTCTTGTACTATGTTATTGTTGTTATGGGCCACCGAGTCAGTTCCGACCCATAGCGACCCTGTATAGGGTTTCCGAGGGTGTAAATCTTTTCTGGAGTAGAAAGCCTCATCTTTCTCCCACGGAGCAGCTGGTAGTTTCGAACCGCTGACGTTAAGGTTCGTAGCCCAATTCGTAACCACTACGCTACCAGAGCTCCTTTCTTGTACTAAGTTGTTGTTGTTGTTGTTAAGTGCCATCGAGTTGGGTCCGACCCATAGCGACCCTGTACAGGGTTTCCGAGGGTGTAAATCTTTACAGGAGTAGAAAGCCTCATCTTTCTCCCGCGGAGCGGCTGGTAGTTTCGAACCACTGACCCTAAGGTTCGCAGCCCGATTCGTAACCACTACGCTACCAGAGATATTATCTTAATCCAAAGGCCCTCTCAATTAAAATTGATAAAGAAATAATTACAATTAATCACAAACTTGCTTTTTTTTTTTTTAAATAATGGTGGATAAGTTTACCTGGTTTCCTTGTAAAGAGCATTTTGGAAGGCATATAGTGGAGCGTAGTGGTTATGAATTTAGCTGTGAACCTTAAGGTCAGCAGTTCAAAACTACCAGTTGCTCCATGGGAGAAAGATGAGGCTTTCTTCTTCTGTAAAGATTTACAGCCTCGGAAACCCTGTACAGTGTAGCTATGGGTCGGAACCAACTCGAAGGTACTTAACAACAGCAACAATATTACACAAAAGTTGACAAAAACAGGAATGATTTTTTTTTTTAAACTTCTTATTGTGAATTGAAGTCCTAGTGTGGCACTGTGGGTTAATGCGCTGGACTGCAAAGTTGGTTTGAACCTCATGGTTGGCGGTTCAAGCTCACAAGTTGCTCCTTGGAAACCCTATACAGAGTCGTTATTGGTTAGACCAACTTGACAGCAGTTAACAACAACAACATTGTGAATTATGTATAGGTTTACAGAAGAAATTGTTTTGACATTCACCACTTTATACACATTTTGTATCATCTCAAGGATTGCAATCCCTACAATGTAACATCACTGTGTTTCCTATTTCCATTCCTTTCTTTGTCTACCACTTTCTGAATTTTGGACTTTGTCCTAAGGCAGATGATGCCTTATTCAGAGGAGTGGGGTACCTTGTCAGTGCTATTCTTCACCTTATACAGCTCTCTATCATTTGCTAAAATTTGAGCCTGGGCAGTGAGCTCAGTTACATGCCCCAATGGTGTCTAAGGGCCATAATCTCTGGGGCTATCCAAGTCTCTATCTGACCAGTGCTGTGGGTTAATGTGTTGGACTGCAAAGCCAGTTTCAACTGCCAGGTACGCAGTTCAGTTTTACCAATTGCTCCTCAGAAATCTATACAGGGTTGCTTAGAGTCAGAACCAATTCGACAGAACTTAACAACAACAACAAAAACATCTGACTAGTAAACCTGGTCTTTTTAATGATTTTGTAGTTTTCCACAAAAAAATAAGAATGACTTGACAGAATAATCTTTATGGACAATGACCATTTTTTCAGAATCTGGCTTGCAAACTCTCATGGTCATAAAAAGAGAAGAAAAAATTGTTAGTACAAGATGTTCATTCACTACAAAACTAAAATGTGCACAAAGTGACTGGCTTATAAATTTTCAAGAAGGAGTTTAGTTTCAGAGTGTGCAAGGGAAGGTAGAGTCCCCACTGAATAGTTTTCATCTTGTCTAGATAGATCTGGTGAAAAGAGATGGGGATAAGATTCTTATAATTCAATAGTGGATAATTGTTATCATGGCTAATTATGACTGTCACAACTGTAAAGGTAGAAGTTTTGTAACAAAAAGGGGGGAGTAGTTAATCTTATAGTCCAGGAACAGAGGACCCTAGAACCATCCAGGGAGAAGAGCATGAGCGGAATATGGGACCGTATCCAGAGAAGAAGCCACAACAGAGATAGAGGCAGAGATGATGACATGGAGAGAGAGAGAGAGCAGGGGAAGACTCTAGACTCATGGAAAGAGAAAGGCTGGCAGCCAGGAGACAAGCTTGTGCCCTTCGGTTGTTTAAATGATTATATATTTCCAAATGTTTTTGTGGACGTCCACAAACAAACAAACAAACAAACATAGAGGGAATTGGAAACAAATACTAATGAATGATGATGCAGAGGAGATCGTAATCATTGTAATGAAATAATGAGTTTAAAACTGATGTTCTCCCATGTAAACTATCACTCAAATCACAATAAAATCTTAAAACAAAACTAAAATGTAACAAGTCATCTAGCATGGAGTATTATGTTTAAAAGTATTTCATTTTTTCCTTATATTTAGATCTTTCTCTGGAATTAAAGGACTTCAGCTTAAAGTGAGCCTCCAACCCAATGATAATTATTTTTTCTACGTGAGAGCCGTCAATGCGTTTGGGACAAGTGAGCAAAGCGAAGCAGCTCTCGTTTCCACTAGAGGTACTTTCTCCTTCATACACAAAGTGCTGTTTTTTTCCTTCTCTTCTGCCACCAAGAGACGATATCCTCAAGTTCAATTTCATAAAACTGCTGCCTGTGCTAGGTTTTAAGCATAAAGATGCAAGATTGGTCAAAGGTCAAGATGTTAGAGGTTCTCAACCTTGGCTGTCCATTAGCAATCACTTACGGTGCTTAAAAATTCTAATGTTCAGACCCTAAGCCTAGAGATTCTGATTCAGTTGATCCGGAGGTGGTTGTTGTTGTTAAGTGCCGTCGAGTCGATTCCGACCCATAGCAACCCTGTATAGGGTTTCCAAGGAGCAGCTGGTGAGCTTGAACCACCGACCGTGCAGTTAAAACAGCTTTGCAGTCTGGCGCATTTATCCACAGCGCCACACCAAGACTCTGATCTGGAGGTAGGCCCAGAATATGTATTTCAAAAAGTCTCTTCAGATGATTCTTGTTTGTCTTATAATTTGCTATAATTTATGAGTATGTTTTGGGACTGGGAGATGTGTGTGTTTATAACACTGTGAACTCTATGAATAAGTCTCCAGTCTTGTTCTTCTATTTATTCTTGGTACATGGAACCTAGTAGGTGACAACTAATGTTTGTTGACTGACTGACTGAATGAATAACTCAAGAATTGATAAAACCATTCAGTGACATTTTGGGAATAATATCTGGATATTGCCAACAAAAATAGGCTATTCTCACTTATTAAGTGAGGAATGGGAAAATGATCATTTTATTATTTTATTCTATACTCAGATGATACAAGATTAAGGATGGCACATTAACTAATTTGCCATTAAGTGGAAACTTGTACGTGTGCCTTGTTTGTGATATAATTAAGGCTTACCTGACTCAAAAGCATTTAACAACAACAACAACAACCTGATGTTTATCAAAAGAGGCCATAAGGTCTGCCTGCCCAGAAATGTTTTCCCCACAGGTTCAATATGGGGCTGTGGAATAAGCACTGGACCGCAAGGTCAGTTTGGACACTTTGTTTCATGTCCTTGATTACAATCCTTACAATGTAATACCACTTAGCCTCATGTGTTTCCCATTTCCATATCTTCCATTTTTCTACCCAAGAAACGTAAGGTCGGTGGTTCAAACTCAGCAGCCACTCCTCGGAACAAGGTTGCTAGGAGTTGGAACCAACTTGAAGACACTTAACAACTTCCACTATGGTACTCACCCTTTTAGGGTTTATTCGTTCTTCCTCAAACTTTAATGTGTGCATGAATCTCCTGAGGAGCTTGTGAAAATATGGATCAGAATTCAGTAGTTCAGGGGTGCCGCCCAAGATCCTACTGTTCTAAGTAGTTTCTAGGAGTCCTGGTGTGGTGGTGTAGAATAAAGCACTGGACCACAAGATTGACTTGAACCACAAGGTCAGCGGTTCAAACCCACCAGCCAGTCCTCGGAAACCCTGTAGAGGGTCACTATGAGTCAGAACTTAGCAAGTAGTTTCCAGGTAATGTAGATGCTGTTGATGTAAAGAGTCAGAACCGACTGACGGCACTTAACAGCAGCAACAATGTGGTGTGTACATCAACAGCATCTGCAGTACCTGGAAACTCTTGTTAAGTTCTGACTCATAGTGGCCCTGTATAGGGTTTCTGAGGAGCAGCTGGCTGGTTTGAATAACTGACCTTGGGGTCAGCAGTCTGGTGCTTATCTTACAGTGCCACACCAGGACCCTACACTTTGCATTTGCTGTTGTTGTTAAGTGCTGTCAAGTCATTTCCAACTCATAGCAACTGTGTATGGTTGCCAAGGAGTGGCTGGTGGGTTTGAATTGAAAAGGGAGCATGGAAGTAAAGAACAAAAAAGGGCAGCATAGGGAGACTGTCCGGCAGTTTGCCTGCAACTCTCATGATGACCTTATGTTTTGCAGTCCAGTTCTTTTCCTAAAACACCACACCAGGACTCTGTATAGCTGGGGTGGCTGGGGGTGGGAGTGGGGGTAGGGTGGGGAGGAAGGGATCTCTTTTAGAAGAGACATCTGTTTAGATGTAACTAAGAGACACCAGATAAGCAACCACTAGCATTCCCTGATGCCCTATCATGGATGCAGTTTTTGGCTGTGGATGTGCAAACTCTGAGCAAGGGATTTTGATGTCATGGGAAAGGGAGACACTATCTGAACTGTGGGGCTTAGCCTAGGGACAGCTCTTGATGTTGTGGCAATGTTTTAATCCCATTTTCTCAACTGCCACAGGAACCCGATTTCTACTGTTGAGAGAAACGGCTCACCCTTTGCTGCACATTTCCTCAAATGGGACAGTGATCAGCTTTGCTGAGAGGAGACGGCTGACAGAGTAAGCAGAAGATGAAAGCACAAGTGTGCTGAGGCCTCAGCAGTAGAATCTTAAGAGTGTTTCAGCTCAGTGTGGCCTCACCTGAGCAATCACTGGTTTAATGACTGCCCCCCCCAGGTCGTATCAAATATAAATGTGTGCACAGCCATGCAGCCCACTTACAGTTCACTACTAGGCAGGCAGTGACAGCTGCAGTTCATAACTTGGAGAAAGTGTCAATATTTTTATTGGAAATACAAACACAGAACATTATCTGTTTGAAGGTTTTACCTCTGATTCAGTGAAAAAGAGTCCAGGTTAATTGTTTTATAATTTTTCATAACAAATTGGATTTTGTATCAACCCACTTGGAAATGGAAAAAGGAGGATAGCATTTTGTTGAGTACTTAGTTCTGGCCATCAGCTGGGCTTTCGGAATCTGTTGTCGCAGTAGCGTCAATAAAGGGGAGCGTGGAAGTAAAGATCAAAAAGCTGAGGATAAGGTGGGAAGACTGTCCTGAAGTTTGCCTGTAACTCTCATGATGACTTTGAGGGTCAAAATGGGCAAACGGAAAAAGATACGTGCAAGTCTTTTGAAAACTGTTACACTATGTGCTGGTGGTACTGATGTGCCCAGGGATTGGCAGGCTGCAAGTTCTCAAAATAACACACAAACCCATTAACAGTGACTTATACTGTTTTCCTATCAGATTGCTGGTCTGGTGCAGGCCCCACTCAGGTGTTACCTGCCCCAGACAATGGCCAAGCCTTCTCTGGCACTCTAGGTGCCCTTTGATCTGACTGTCTAAAAGAACTGACCACTTGGTGGTAGGATCATTAGTTGGCCACTGTTGTTGTTGTTAAGTGTGGGCAAATCAGTTCTGACTCATAAAAACCTTGTATTGTGTTTCCAAGGAATGGCTGGTGAGTTTGAACTGCTGACTTTGTAGTTCAAACTGATCTTGCAGTCCAGTGCTTATTCTACAGTGCCACACCAGGATGCCAGTAAGCCACTGTTGTTGTTGTT